ATTTTTTGAGATTCTATAACAGTGAATCATACTTGATGTGAGATTATCAACGGCTATTTAAATTCAAAATTTTAAACAAAAATTCAAAATGGCGGAATTCTTTTCCTCATCTCGAAAACTTTTTCTAATATTTTGATCACAAATTGCTAGATTTATTCAGTAATTTTTATCACTTATATCCAAAAAAGTGGCAAGAGCCTAATGAAGCTATATATATACGCTCATTTTCTCAAAATATTCTGCATTCAAGTTTTTTCACTACCTCTCTTTTTATCCAGTTTATGTTGAACGTTCAATGGTTTAATCCATTGCATAAAAGAGCAAAATGCATTTTGAAAAATATAAAGTAAAGGAAAATCAGGAATGGGAAATTTTTTTACGAAACACAAAAACATAAAGCGAAAATTGAACATTCAAAATTGGTCATTACTTAACTGTGAATGCACATGTACACATTGTGAATTGTAGATGAGTTGAGTTAAGTGGGAGTGAACCGGCTTTTTAATGAACTTCTATTACCCGCCATCAGAAAATATCTGCATAACATTGCAATTTGCATAATTTTTTTTATCGTTCACTCTCTCACTTTGCAGTCTATAGGAGATTTTCTAAATGTGTATTATGGACATGCAGTCGATGCTGATAGAGAGACAAAGATTTTTATTGTGAATTGAAAAATCAAACGGGAGATCAAAAGGATTTTTTTTTGCAATTTGCAGTTTAGTTTGAACAAATGTTGTCGATGCTGCTTTTCAGCCTTTTGCATTTGCTGAAGTTTTAGATGAGTTGATGATAATTAATTTGATTTAGATAAAAATGGAGATTTTAAAAGGGTTTTGAGGAGTAGCTGGAGTAGCTTCAATATATTTAAGGTTAGATTTTGATGACATATGCTTTGATGTCACTTAAAGGTTCCGAGTTGAAGCCTTAGTCCTTCCTTATCAGTATGATCAACAGTTATAAGTAAACTAGTCTATGTTTTACTTTATTTGGGTTGGAAAAACCGAATTTTCTCAAATCACGCAGCTCCAACAAATAACATCAATTCCTCCAGTCCTTTCCAATCCTTTCCCCAACCACCAGCACTCATGAATCAGATTTTTTCTCACAATCTTCTCCGATAAACGACTGGTGTTAATAATAATGCAATTTATCCAATTTACACACGCTGACTGATACTTTTCAGAAAGCTGTGAAATCGCACAATTTTTTTTGCTGCATTCTCATTGCGACATGAGACATAAAAACCATAAAAAAGCATCAGCGATGGTCAATAAACGTAAATTTCAATTTTTTATTCGTAGATTGTGAAAAAACTCTGCATTCCATTTTTTTTTGCAATAGCATAACTGAGAATTTCGTGCATAAAAAAGAGGATTTTTTTGCAGTATTAAGTGCATGACATGCGATATAAATTGGGAGGTTTTTAGCAGTTTTGACTTGTGGTGGATTTTGTTTTGCTAAGAAAGAGATTTTTGGATGTCACTTAATGATTGGATGGTGTCTATTTTGCATGGATGAAAGGTAGTAAGCAAGTTAGCTTGTGTCGAAGTTTGTGATGCATTTTTAACTGGATTTTGTAAATGTTTTGGGATACAATTTTTGTTCTGGAATTTGAACTGGATATTGAAATTCAAATTTTGTCATGTGTGTCATACATTCTTATTTAAAGCGACGCTGCTTATGAATTAAAGCATTGCATCTAAATTGCATGATACACTTTCAACTTAATAAAAGCTCTGCGTCTAAATTGCATGAAGTTCATAGCCTTAAAAAGCAGCAACGCTTCAAAAAATTTTGCAACTCAACAATAGTATCAAAAGCATCCAGTCATCTCGCCAAAGTAAACACAAACTTCAACTTTTCTTCTTCAAAAAATATTTTTCACTTGCACATTGTTTGCCTTTTTCATTAAACCTTGACTGCGGAGAGTGTAAAAATGCTTTCACATCAACGACATGAGCCACTTTTCTGGTTGCATACAAAATTGCTGATTTGATTGTGTGTGGAATGCACAATATACTGACTACCAAAAAAAAAATAACTCAATAGCTTGGAGAAGAAAAAAATCCACTTCATTTTGGTTTTTTATTCATTCCTCCGGTTAAAGCTCCTCTGACTGTGATGGGTGTAGTAAATGGTGAACGATAAAAAAAAAGTAAATTGAATGAACGGACCGAGAGATGAGAAATTGATTTTTCATAATGGAATTAAAATGTTGTTTGGATGAGACTTAGGCCGATTTCAGTAAAAATTGCAAATCATAAAAATAAACTTTTATGGGAAAATGGACAGCCTTTTGGGCAGATTTCAGAAAAAAATAACATGAGGATATAGCACATCACATGAAAAACTATATTTTGACTATTTCGTATTCGATGTTTATGAACGTACGAATGTATATGCGGTATGTTGAAGCCAACAATTGGTTTTGTAAAATGGTTACTGATTGTGGGACACCAATAAATGGGTAGTCAATAAAAAATCAAATTAAATAGTGGGCACATTGCGGATTACAATTACAGAAGAAGCAGTTAAATGGACAAAACCAATTTTACATGACCAGAAAATATTATCATATCGTTTATGAATTGTGTCTGTTTGTATGTTTGGGTGTGGAAATTGTGACGATGTTCATTTATGGATTGGTTTCGATTGCCTGAGATGAAAATCATTAGCGATTATGGATGTGTGGAATTTACTGCTGTAATTAATTAATTAAGTGCTCTATAATGAGGATTAACATACTTGGCATGAAAATTGGTGGTGATATTGAATTTTTGCGCAGGAATTGAAAGGATATTAAGTTTTAAATGAATAAAACATACTGAAGACCTCAATGTCAAAATTATTCAATCAAGAACAGCCTTGATTTTCTTTTCGCCAGCAAAAAAGAATCCAATTTTCTCTCAACTGTCTCACTTTCCTTTGTGTGTAGTTGATAAGTGGTAAATTGGTTTCTCTGGTTATCCACAAAACGAAATGAATTCTTTTTTCAGCCAAAACCCGAATAACGCGTAAAGCATTATACACACATATTTTTTTTATTCCATCCCATTCTCTCAATTTTTTTATATTTCATTTCATTTCAAAGCCACGTTAACGCGGTGAGGTCCATTTCATATCACTCACTTTTTGTTGTTTTTATTCTCCTCATTGCCAGTTTTTTTTTTCATCTCGTTTTGCCATCATCACGACCACTTACCCGCTTTCTAATTGACAACCACTTTATTAAGTGCGGCGAAAATGTTTCGTGGGATTTTTTTTTCATTCTCATATTTTGCCTCTGCCTCACCCAAAAAAAAAAAAGATGTATAAACCATTTGCAGGAAAAAAAATATTTAAGCATGCTGTATGTGGCATGCCACATGAGATGAGATTGATTTCCTATATATTTTTGGCTGTGCTGATAAAAAAATAAATAATAAAAATCGAACAAAGGAAATTCGCGTGTTGTTGAGATGTTCAACATGACAATTTGTCAAACATGCGTACGAAAAGTTTTGATTGATTTTTGAATTATTTGTAAAACATAATTTTATCATGCATTAAGGCAACATTTGGCTCAATTATAGTTTCGCAAAATTTTCATGCCTTCATCAATTTTAAAGGCACCAAAATTATTTTAATAATGAAAACTTAATGTCGTGCGTGTTTGATGGAATGAGAAATAACCATATCATGATGATGATTAGGATGTGGTTTATATGGCACACATCTATGCACTTGTGTAGTATATTTTGTCAGTCAGGAAAGGAGAGAGGTTTGAATTTTTGGCTAAATGCAAATACGCAGATATTTTGCAATAAATGATAGAAATGGTGTGAGGCTATAAGCTTCATACATAATCATTTAATATCACAAACATGCACGCAATGTCAATAGACTTGTTATATGAATATGTGCTGATGCCACTATCGTCAAGCATTGAACAATTTTCTAACTGACAATCGACTTGAAAGAATTTTTTAAGGCTGTTATTTTGAATGTTGTTTGGTAGGTGGGGTTGAGGTGTGACGGCTGTTTTGATCGGAATGTCTCCCTGAATGTCTCATAATGATTGAATTGCTGTAGATTGAGCTTTTATTTATGATGAGCTGTTGCTAGATTTTTTATTGAGAACTTTAGTGTTCGATACTCTAAAAACAGCGATTACACTTCACAAGTACTGCAATTGAAGTTTCAACCTAATATAGATTCATACAGCAGTAAGCTCACAGCTCATCGAAAATACTTTATAAGATTCACATGCACATTGAGGTTTTTTAATGAGATTTTTTTTTTGTTCCTCATATCCTCACGCATGCACAAGTTATCAATAACCACAAAAAGAACACATGAAGGACATGATACACGCAACTTTTATTCCTTTTTCTTGCTTTTCGAAATTGCGTGCAAACATTTCTCCTTGCTTTCTCCTCGAGTTTGCTGTTTTACTAGAACACAAACTTGGTCTACGGCTTAAAAAAAGAGTGTTGTTTTTTTGGTGTTCGAGGTTTTTCGGTGCTGTGTTTGTGCTGTGTTGAAATATGGGGAGATCAAGTGTGAGGGAGACGGAAGGCCAATTTTACTAAAGACTAAGGTAGTTATCACACACATTATACATAAATAAGTTGAATGTATGAAAGGAAAGGGAAATGTATTGGTTTGATTTTGAGGTAAACCAGTTGAGGAGCTCATATATGTTTATATTCATAACCCCAACTCCCCCCATTTTATGCTACTTCACATATTATATACCTACATGAAATTTTTTCAATTAACCATCAAGTCCGAAAATTCTCTTGTGATTAATTCTTGTACATTGCCACACTTTTTTGCCTCTTCTTTCTTTTGGAACCTTCTCGATGGTTAACCAATTTTTTTCTCCATCTCTTTCTCACTCTCTCCGTCATTCTGTGTTTTCATAATTCAATCCTATATGTATTGTATTTTATATATTATGTACATGTACTGACCTCGATTTCCATTTTCTTTTGTTCTTATTTCTATGTATATAGGAAAAAGTTTCACATTGACCATCACAGTATCAACAAGTCCGCCACAAATTACGACATACAATAAAGCTATTAAAGGTAAAATAATTTATACTGAATTTTGAACTTTCTATTTATTTCAATTATTTTTTTTTGAATTTTTGATTGCAATCTTAAACATTTCTTGATGTGGATGATTGACAAACAATACAAAAACTGCAACAGTAACTGTTGATGGACCAAGGTAAGAGAATCATAAGAATAATTTCATATGTGGCAATATTTAGAGTTGATAGCAAATGTAAGCATTTTAATGCTTGACTTCAATAAGGAATAATGTCCAGATCTTTTCTTTTAGACAAGAAATATGTTGATAGTTTAACATTTGAATTTTTCTATCAACTCTAAATGCAAAATTGTTATTGTAAAACTCTCATTTCCTGAAATATAATATTGTCAACTTAATTAGACTTTCCCATAATTCTTCTTCCAGAGAGCCTCGATCAAAGACAAGTAAGTATAAAAACTTTTTTTTTCATTTCTTATATAATCTGCAATAAGACCATCCTACATGGAGTATACACAAAGATGTCACAGATGTCGCGAACTGTGAATGCTGGTTACCAAAAAAAGTCATCATCTACAAGCATAAAACGAAAATGTAGGAACAAAAAGATGAATAGAAAATGGGAGACAGATAAAAAAGAAATGAAAAACGAGAGACAAAAATAGAAAATGGAGGAGCAGAAAGAAAATTTTTCCAGGCGCCAAAACCACAATTTTTGCTTCTATCTTTTATCATCCTCAAACTCATTTCAGAAAACTATATAAGTAGAAATTTTAAAGGCAATGAATGAAGACAATGAAAAATAGTTTTCTATTTTTGAAAATTTATTTCCTTGGGGAAATACGACATTTATCAAGGCGAATGGATCTTTACCCATTCTCTTATTTTTTTTTATGGAACGAGAGAGATTTGCTGCTGAATAGAAAGAATCTGGAACTGACAATAAAAATTTTATGTTATATATGCAAAATCTCTTTAATTATTTTTTCCTTGTTCTTCATCTCTTGATGATGATAAAGAATTTTTTGAGCGCGATTTTGTGGAGATGAAAATTTTTACTGAAGTTTTAGGAGAAACTTCCGAGATTTAAAACTTATGAATCTCTAAATCCAATCGAAAATGAAGTAAAACGCGCTTCAAAACTACCCAATAACTCACAATCCATCCTCATTTTTCTAATTTTATATTCATTGCAAAAATCTCAATCTTCTGACCACCTTCATTACTTTTTTTTGCCAACCCTTTAGTTAATTCTATTTTTCCTTTAGTATATTCTTTATATCATCGTTTCATAGAGCACATATAGACAGTATAAATATAAATTTATTTAAATTTATCTAGCTATAGAAAATTTATTCATTCATTGAAGGATTTTAATGGCTGCTTTTTATTCTTATCTTCTGTTCAGACACTACACCTATACGATCTAACCTTTTTTTATTTATTTTAATTCTTTTTGTCTTGTTTAATTGGATTTGTGTGGATGTTAGGGAGCTGTGCTGAATTTTTATGCTTAAATTACAATTTTTTATTGAAATTTCTGGATCGATTAACTTTTATTTGGAATATATTATTTATAAAAACATTATTCTGTCCCTAGAATGTAGCTAAGAAGGGTCTGTAAAGTCCAATGCTATGTTTTCGTAACCCTTAAATGATCCTTGACATAACCCTCAAAATCGAAGTCATTAGGGAACAATTTCTATTAAAAATTTAATAATATTTCCAATTTTAGTAATTAAATACAAATTATATCCAAAAAGTTGTAACATAAAATATTGACAACATGTCACAAAATGTCACATCCGATACAACTATTGCAGCATTAGTTACACAAGCTAAAAAAATTCTAATAATAAAATAAATATTTTGATTAATTGTAGCACAAAACATTCAACTGAATATATTCCAATTGTTTTTTCATCCCCATCCACACCAGTCCACTGAAAAAAGAACTCACCGCATCTATATTTTATATTGAATATTCAATATTCATACTTACATATGGGAAGCTCCTCATCTTCCTGTGTGTATATAAAATACATGAATGTACGGTATACAAAATGTGTTGTCAAATTAGAAAATTATTTATTGTACATTTTCAATTTAATTGCTTTTTTCGACTCACACATGCATGCCATGGATAAAAGGAAGGGCGAAAAATTGTAAAATTTTCCATCTCATGTGTGGCATGTAGACGGATATTTTTAACTTTTTTACATCTTATTGTTCTCTTTTCTTTCCCCATTTTCTAATTGAAAGTCCTTCATTAATTTTGCAGATCAAATATATTATTCGGAAAGGGGGATATAGGTAGGCAGGCAGGCAAAACTTTTCATTTTCATGTGAATGTCCTTAAATTTGTCCATTTCATAATGTGTCAACAAAAAAGTTTTTAACTCATTGCATTTTAATCTTCTTCTTATTCTGCCAACTACTTCTTTATGTCCTCTCTACAATATGCCACACTATATTATTGTATAAAATGTAGACATTCTAAAATACTCGTAAAAAACGAGATGACAGGCACATGCCTTAATTCCCTGACTCTTCATTTCATTAAAATCCTGTCTTTCTCACTCTCTCTCTCTTTTTGGTTTTGATGATAAAGTTATAAACTAACATCCTTGTAATTCCTTTCTGTCATATTTTTTATGTTACTTCTCTTACTACTTTTTGTAACTAACTGGATTTACGCTTACTGCATCTGGATATTTATGTGTGATACATAAGTGGGCGATTCTATAGAAAGGAATGTTTTGTGTGGTTAAATAAACCAATTAGAGATTGTTGCTGAATTTAGATTAGTAATGGTAGAGTTTAATACAGTTTGATCAGTTCTGAATAAATGCTAAGACAGCTGAATCTTGTTATATTCAAGTAAATAGAGTTCAACTTAGCTTGTTCGAGCTGAAAGATGCTGAAATTGTCTGAATAAATGCCTATTCTAGTTGCTGATACTGAATTCAGCTTGCTAATACTGAATTCAGCTTGCTGATACTGAATTCAGCTTGCTGATACTGAATTCAGCTTGCTCATACTGGACTGAGCTTAAGAGTATGGCTTAAACTCGGATTTACGGATATTTACTACAAATTTGCCCAACCCAGCCCAACCAGACATATTTTGTCTTTACTATTCCTGATGATATAAAGAATAATAACAAAAGTTTTTCTAAAATTTCAGTCCGTAAATACTTCCATCTGTATTTACCACCATAGAATGTCATTTCTCTTTTACAATACTAAATTACATTCTGCTTAACAATGTTCTTGTCACTTTAGATAAATTGTAAAAGAAAAATAGGAACTTGAGGATAGAATTTTTCTTTAATTTGATTCCCATGCTCCTCTCATTTAACGAAATTAAATAAACTTTTTGCTCGACTGCAAAAATTAATTAAAAATGCATAAAAATATTTCAACATAAAAAGTATCAGCGATTAAACTGCAATGCACATTAATAATTATACAAAATGGTGGATTAAATAGATGAAAAACCACAAACTTCACTCACTCTCCCATCAGATCTCTCACTCTCGCCATCGCTTCCCATTTTCCCGTATAATTTTTGCATTTTAGCTTTTTTGAAAATTATCAGTGAACCGGAAAATTTTTCATTTTTTCATCCACTCCACTCTTGCGTTAACAATAAATGAAAAATATTAATGAGATTTTTTTTTTGGTTGTTTTAACAGGGCAGCAACAGCAATTTCATTTTGCTTTTGGACAAAGGCCGTTCCACTTTCCTGCTGATCCACTTAGTTTTCGAATGCCACCGATTGGAAATTGTCAAAGTAAGTAGATTTTTATTCAAATGTTTATATATTTTTGAAATTTTAAGAGATTTAAAATCCTTTATATATTTAATAATGCCTTGCCATTTAGTAGAATTGATTTTACACAGTTTTAATCATAATAGTGTTTTAAATACGGTAAAAATTACAAAATAAATCTCGAAGTGGAGAGAAAAACAAAATGGTGGTTACAATTTTCAAATTTTGGCCGTTTTTTTTGTTTTAAAACTTTATCCATCAAAAACAAATTCAGAAAATTAAAAAATTTAATGTAAATATGTCCGAATAATCTTCAATAAATATGAAAAAATTCACATGCGGTTATGGCATGGAAAAATATTGAAAAATTATTCATACTCAGAATATTTCCCAAAATATTTCATAAAACTTTCCGTTCATTAATCATCTTATTTATTATAATAAAATAAAGGATTACAACGAATAAATAAATGAACAAAAAGTGTTCCTTGCTATTCTTTATCATGTCGAGTACATTTTTAATTCTACATAATCCAACATCAAATGTTTGCCCTTAAAAACAGTGAAATTCGGATTTAATTTTATTTACTTTGCATGAGGAGATATTAAATCACATAAACATGCATAGATGTAGAGATTGTTGAGATTCTACACATGAGATAAGTGTAATGAATGTATGTATATGTAAACATAAAGTACTTTAAAAAAAACTTTTTATATGATGAAGGTAATAATCATAATTTTTATTCAAATGTGGTTCCTTCTCATAAACATGGAAGCAACATCAAGCACAGAAAATATTTTTTTTATTCATCCTGTAGCGGAAAATATTTTTATTTTAATTTCACGACTCAAAAGGATAATGAGTTTTATTAAAAATACTTGAATGAATTAAAAATAAATTTAACTTTTGAAAAAGAGCCATGAAGCTTACTGCATACACAAATATTGAGATAAATAAATTCCAAGCTCCTCCTATTTGTTGGTACTCATGAGAGTAATCCAGTTTTAAGTAGAATTTTGCTGGAGATATTCTGAAATCCTACTCATACCCTTTGAGTACCATATGAGTCATGACTCACATGAATATGATGCCGCTTAATAAAAGAAAATGAATGTATACTCTTGATGGTGGTAAGAATATTAAACATGTAATCCTTTTTATGATGCCTAAAATTTCAACTCTTTCCTTCCTTCATCCATGACAGTCAAAAAAAAAAAGTTGAACATATTTTTTTTCATACTTTCATAAATATAAATTAATAATATGCTTGCATATCATATCAAGATAACAAGTGCGGTGGGTAGCAACACATCATAAGTAAAAAGGCATAAAAATAACTTATTCAAAAGAACGAGTGAAAGTGGGTGCAAATTTAATGAACGAGAAGGGGTTGCTGCACGTTAAAAAATTATTTTACAAAAGATTGTTAAAAATTTATAAATATGATGCTCTAGAGAATGAGCACATGAAGATATTTAGTGATGTGAAGATTTAATTAAAATATATTAAAGAATTTTTTTCTCTTCCTCGACATGTGAAAAAAAAAACATTTTTTGTGACTTGCTGAATTATTTTAATTAGCGAAACAAAATGTTTTGATGATTTTTATCATTGTGACGATAATTTTAAATTAGCTTATGAAAATTTATGCATGGAAGCATTAGCTTATTATCATTGAAATTGGCGTCTAAAATAAACATATGGAATTAATGAGTGACATGATTGTATGATTAATAATGATGAGTGTTGGCACTAGGGCTGCATATTAACGTGTAAAGCTTGATCTTAAACTTTTACATTCCACTTATTTTGCATTATTTCACCTCCAACTATATTCCACTTATATATATCATTTAAGTATCAAAACAACGGAACTAAAATTATCAATCCTCATTCCTTTTATTTTTCAGACATGTCACAGTTCGGTTTGAGCTCTACAAACTCCGCACATTGGGGTTATGGTTCAACATCAGCATATCCCCCATATCTTGCAAGTGGTAGCTTACCAGCTGCATGTACAACACCAACAGCTGCTCAATTTAATAATCCTGCATTAGGCTTCTCATGCTCTCCAACAGAAACGTCATCGCAAGATTTTACTGGAAGAGATTGTGTACCAAGTGAGTTAAATGACTGAATATTTATTGAATATATTTTCTAATAAATTTAATATTAGTGTTACCTGATTCAACAGCAACAGATTTGGATCAACATTTGAGTAGTTTAGTTGGAACACCACCATCATCACAAATGAATCATCAATCGTTAATGAATGCTAGTGTAGTGACAGGAAATGGTAATCATGGTGACAATCTTACTGTAAATGGAACGCCGAATGGTTTAGTAGTGGCGCGTTACAATCAAAATCAAGCTAATGATTATGGCTTGCATACTAGTCAAAATGGTCCGCGTAGCTTGAGTGATTCATCGCAAGCTGAATCGCCTGTTCAAGATGATTTGTTGACATCAAATACACCAAACTTGGGCGGTGCAAATGGGAATCAAAATTTCCAAAATCAAAATTCTTATGGAAATGGTGGCAATGGATGTAATGGCTCTATTTATCCAGTTTTGCCAGCAAGTTTATTGTATACACAGCTATATACAGCCGCAAATCAATCACATGGCTTTCATTCGCATTCACTTCAATCGCATTCTTCACAAAATTCTTTAATGCACGGTGAGTTGCAAAGCGTTATGGATCACATTGTTACTGGAACTGGATCACATGGTGGTCGTCAACATCATCAACAATTGATGGCTGGAAATACGGATTTAAGTTTGATTGGAAATTGTGGAACAGCTGCACGTGTTGCTGATGAGAATGCAAGTAATCGTCAGTTGTTGAATGGACCGAGAGGAGTACAACCACAACATGCACCACCACCTGGTGATTCAGCTGTTTGGCGTCCTTACTGATTACCCAATCTTCTCATATGAGATGATGTTTAGTGCAATTTGTTAGATTTTATGTACATTTAAGTGCAATACTCTTCTGTTGGTTACCAAAAATAGACATAACGAGCATGTTTTATTTGTCTTTTTTGGAATATTATCTCATTTTTATTATTGTGTAAGTCATTTATTCTACTGTACAAAATTCGATATATTGCCATGTATCTTCAATTTTATCTTATATCAGATATAGTTGAATAATATTCTACTTCTATTGTAAATAGACCAAAGGAAATTATGTTGTTTTTGGATGTTTTAAGTGTGGGAACTCTTGACACTTTTTTTATGCAAACATGATATTACTGACAGAACATGTTTAATGACAATTTATAGCCAAAACTGTCGGATAAAAGTGTCTAAGCCCGCTCTTAAAACAGAACAAAAAATATTTTCAATCTAAGTCGGTGATAAAGTTCCAGTAATAAAATTAAATATGCACAATAGTAGTGGATTCATTGAAAACAACAGGTTACATGCTTTGTAAGAATTGTGCATGTCATTGTATGTTCATAAATGTATATCCTATTGTATTCCTTCCATTTGATTATCCCCAAAAATATCAATTATATCAATGAGATAAATTACATGAAAAAACAAAGGATGATGAAATTTTTTATATAAGCTGAATCAGTAATTATATCAAGATAATATAAAATGTAACAAGTTTTATGCCAAAAAAATGAAGAATTTTAGATAAAAATTTAGGATGTAGTACGAGAATTGATATTGCATTTAGTCATGCATTTTAATTTTTGAATATTGATAAGAATTTTAAAGATTGAAGGGATTTAATTTGAAGGGAAATTGATGTGATGCTGGTTTGTTTTGGATAATAAGGTGATTATCCAGTAATATCGGGAGATCTATCATTATCATTATAATCTATCATTTTTAAAAATCACCTTAGCTCATCAAGTAAATGAAAAAAGATTGTAAAATTGATAAATTTCCCTCAAAAAACTAATGAAAAATGATGTATACAAAAAAACCCTAAAGCCAACCTAAACCAAAGTGAAAAGTTTATGAATAAATTAATCAGACATAGTCATAAAATTAAGAAAATGATGAAAAAAAAATTCATTCTTGTCAAAGTTGATGTAAAAAGCTCACCGTATGAAAATAAAAGAAAATTTGCGAAAAGCAAAAAAATTTAAAATTAAAAAAAAAAATAATTTTTAATAATGCATGTAAAATGACTTGTTTGTACGTTCCGAAGCACCGAATATGTTAAGGATGTACAACTCTTGGGTCCTCTCCAACAATTTATTTGTTATCAGTTTTAAAAAAACTGTAGAATCAACTTTAAAAGCCTAGCTTAGCTGCCTCCCCCATCTTACACATTTCCATAACATTCATATGAACCCCCACCAAGTCCAAAAGAGAACCAACAATCCATGACATCATAAAAACGAGTGTAAAACAATTTAGTGTTGTTGTGTGAAAATATTTTTGCACTTTTAACAAAAAAGTGGAAGTAGCCAAATAGAGAACAACAAAAGCAGCGTCAGAAGCTGAAAATGAAAAGGTTCAAAGTGGAAATTGAAGTAGTTTTTTTTTGTTTCATAACATTTTAGAGAATTTTTTTGTTTACCTCAAAAAGCATAAAAACTCAACAACAATGTTGTGCTATATGTCGGTTGAAAGATGAGTTGAATAGCAAGCAAAAAGAGGAACAGAAAAAAATATCATGAAAAGGGGTGAAAAAAGTTTGTTTTTGTGATGTTTGTGAAAAGGATTTTCACCTCAATATTTTTTTGTGATTTTTAGTTGTTATGAAGCGCCATGAGTTGAAAATATACAAGTAAATGGAGAAATCTGAAGTTTTAGCGCGGTTCCATTTAAAATACTCAACTTTTCAACAAAATAATGCTTGTTCAAAAGAATATCCACCTGAGAAATCCGCCCTAGAAAAATAACGAGAAAAGGACTCTCTTTATCTCTGTTTAGGTCACTCATGGCTTCTAGCAAACATACAAATAAAACATGTAGTACTTAACATTGCTTTTTCCACATCATTCCGTCATAGAGAGATGAGTAGATTTCTGTATGCTTGTACATACATTAATAGAAAATAGAAAGGACATTTTCTGAAACAGTAACAAGCCACAGAACTAAATATTTCTACAAGGCATACATGACAAAGCAAAGCAGAGCAAGCAACGATTTTCAAATGCATGCATTGTTATGTATGTGTTATATATTTTTTTTTGCGTTACGGAATTTAATTTAAATTGTTCACCGAAAAACCAGATATTAATTTATGCCATTTCCAGTGCATTGGATTGTGTATAGCTTTTTAAAGAACTCGAAATTTTTAAGTGGACAACATTATTTGAGGTAGAGTAAGAAAGATGAGGGCCTGAAGTAGCACATTGTCTTTTGTTGAGTTAAAACTGGAGCAGATGTGATGGTTGACAATTTTTGTTTGATATTTAAAGCTATGATGTCCAAATTCGATCAAAAATCTCATAATCGAATAAATTAAAATGCGCTCTAGTCAATCTCCTATATCATAACCCCCACAACTCACTATTTGACCATGTATACAACCTTTTATTATGCATTCAATAAACTTTGAGTTTTTGTGATGCAAATTTCTACCTCATGTCGTTTACAGAGGGAAAATATCTCACCAGTGCACACACATACATGCAAATCTCTATTCATGTGATCTAAAATAATATAAATGCAATATAACAGTGAACATGTGAAATTATTGTGCAAATTTACGGAGTAGTGCATTAGATGCAAGCACTAATGTAAAAAAATCTAAACCATATAGCGCTAAACAGTGCTTTTTCTCATGTCGTGTACGTCACTAACCGCATTTTTGTAACACATACCTAACAATTCACAAAATTTTACCTCCGAAAATAAATATTTTTTCAGTCGTTCCTATAAATTGCATGTACTTTTGTTCTTATAATCTCCACTACTTGAAAAATGGTATATGCTAAAATGACACAAACAGATCTCTCTATTATTATTAGAGCGAGAAAATTACATGTAGCTGGAAATGGAAATGCATTAGTAGAGGAAATCGATGATATTACCGCTTAGTGTCAGACTAATCGATCAAGTGGAAATTTTATATTTTCTACCTCTTTTTCACTTCCTGTTTTCTCTAATTTTATATCGTAAATTATTTTTTGAATGCTTTTTGGTCCATTTTTGTTTGAATTGCTATATTATCCACTGATGTGGATATGATTTTAGTGATTGTAAATTGAAAATTACTGTTTGTATTACTAATGTCGGACTAAGTGGACTATTAGACTAGTAGCCTAGTAGATTAATGGATTGTTAGACTTAGGAGCTAGCTGATTAAACGATTTCCTAGTAGAACTACTTGATAAAAGTCGAGTGACTCGCAAGGAATCAAAATAAGACATTTTTGACCAATTTCTTGCTGTCTTACATACTTCTGCCTTGACATAACCCCAATCATATTCAAAATTATGAAAATATGCTTCACTTTTCATTATAAAATCTCATCACTAGCCTTTTACCATTTTACGCCACGCATATCAATCAGAAAATTATCGGTTTGAATGCACAAAATTGTTGTGCAATGGTCCATTAAATGAAAATAGAAGAAGATTCTTTTTCGAATTCTAATTGATGTATCATATGAGGTAAATTTTACATTTCACATTCTACATATTCATGTGTGACATTCATTAATGGAGTCCATTTCCCATCTCTTCTATTTTCTAATTTCAAACTCAAATCACTCGAGCATGTATGTTAATGACACATCATTAAGGGAATAAATTAAAGAAATTTTCTTTTGTGTTATTATGAGTATTGGCGTTTGTGTTTGAGTTTTGGATAGATGTAGAGATTGATGGTGGATATGAGGGTTGATGGAAATGTTTGTGCTTATAATTTTGAATGTTTTGACGACAATTTGGTTTGTTTTGCTGAAGAATAAGATTTAAGGAGGAATTTAAATACTCAAATTTTCTCATCTCTGGTTCTCAGTTAAAGCAAAGGTTTCTAGCTTGTCATAAAGATCTTGGGTATATATAATCTAGGGACAAGTTAGGTATACCCCAGATTATTTATAATTTAGGCAGTTGATTCTCACGAAGAGCCCTAGATCCCATCCTAGTCCAAAGTTTATATTAATAATCTATCACACCTAATGTCCTTAATAGTTCTCAGAACCCAACTAAAAGAGACTATGACAATAATTTTCAAACTTGTTAATTCAAACTCAATCAATTTACGGACCATAGTTCCATCTTTTGGCATGCGAAGGAAACTTTCTCGAAGAAAAAAAGCAACGGTTAAGTCCTTCTGTAGAAAAAAATCTTCACCCTTTCCGTTAGAAAAAAATATATCAAGAGTTGAGTATGAAAAAGTTCATAACAGAAAAAAAAACTTTCATCAATTTTTCTCCTTAAATGTGCTGGAAAAGGAAAACTCATGGCAACACCCAAGTGGAAAAAATATATTACCATCATAAATTTTCACATCTTCAAACATACAAGCGAGACGTTTGAGGGAGCATGATAAAAAGGGGTTGAACAGAAAAGGATAAAAGTATAGTTTACGACGGAGAAAATTTTCTTTTTCCACACATTGAAAAATTCATCTTTGTTTGTGTTGGTGAGAGAAAATCGTGGTGGAAATTTATTTCTCTCTCCTCAGACTTTTTTTTTATTTTTTGTAAGAAACTTTTTTTTCTCGCTGGTGTTTTTTTTGTTATAGAAGTTGAAGAAAAAAGTCGTGGAAGTGTCTTGGATAAGTAGAGGGAAAGGGGTGATTTTTTTTTTGAAAAAAGGGGTGAAGAAAAAAATTAAGAAAAAATAAATTGCAGTAAGAATCTAAAAGAGGACGCTAGTGATGAAAATCTTACAAAAAACATAAGAAATTTATTTAATTTTAATATAATTTCCATCAAAAAACTTCATTTCCTGAAAAAATCTTCAACAATTCCATTCTCCATTACGTAAATCACATCGCCTACATTTTATCAACCACCTCAAAGCCAATCATTTACAAAACCGCAAAATAACCAACCGCAAAGAAAATTTAAGAAGGGAAAAAAAATCCCGTGACATGCGACTAGAGAACTAGAGATGTGTATTAGTGACCACAAAAATTTATCCTTCCTACCAGCAAAGAGGTAAGGGTGAGCTGACTTTTTTTTCTATCAATCAATTTTTTTCTCTCTCCCTAACATCCAATCGGGCATTTATTTTTCCCCGAAAACCACAAACCACGCCCATTTTTTGCGGTTAACCGCAATCTAAGCTTTTCACTTCTTTTTTTCTATTTGTGTATTTTTGTTGTCATGCGGGAAGATGAAAGGAATAAATTGAAATGAGTGAAGAAAATGGACGGCGAGATATTGATGATGTGAGTGGAGACTTTTGTGGTTGGTGATTGCATTCGTCTTTGGATTTTCAACAATGTCTCAACTGTTTAGGAAGGAAATAAGGCATAATGGATGAGAATTTGAAATATTTGCTTGATGTCTTCTTATTGATGATGCCAAGGTCATCTGTTAACTCTGAATAATTTACAGCACTTTTTACGTTCCCAAACCAAACCGAGCTCATAAAACCCAGAACCAGAATCCCGAAAAACAACCCCCGACAAAATA